TTGATCAAAGTTGAGTATACAAAATAAGTTTACGAATAATTTACGTTGACCGGAGAATAAATTTAGGTTTAACCTAAAAAAACATTTTTTAAGCTAGAAAACACTCTTTTAGTTGGGGTTTTCTAATACACCAATCCACGTTTACTGGTTTACGTAATGTGAGAAAAATCGAATTGAAACCTGGAAACAGACCCTGGCCCAGACCGTAAAACGTGATTGGTCCAATTTTCGGAAGGCCCAAATAAAAAATGACCGGACCGAGCCCGAAAAATCGGATTCACTAGCGATCCCTAAAATCATAACCCGAATTGGACCGGTCAAAATATAAAACTAATTATCTTTAATATAAAATCAAAATAATATATCAATATAATTTAGAAATAATTTATAATACGTAGTATATTACTAAAATAAGCATGTTGCATAAAAAAGTAATTAGTACTGGAAGCTTTTAGTGACAACAACTATGTTCAATTTGTATAGCTTAGTGACAATGAAAATATAATTTTTAGTAACTTTAGTTACATTTTTATAGATTTTAAAATCAAAATTAAGATAAATTATTTTATTTAGATTTGAGTTGTTAATGATTTTGAAGACTAATATTGATATTATTATTTATAATCTATTTTTTTGATAATTTTATTTGAAAATAGTTTTAAAATCTATAAATAATACATTTCAAAGATACAATTATGGAAAGTTTTGCCATGTGTCATCTTATAAGCAAACTTTTATTATAAAATTCCATATTTTCTTTCCAATTTGGTATGTTATTTTTACTTACGTTACTTTGGTCTTTAAGTTAGATTCGAATTGATGTTGGAATCCTATTTAAAAACTTCCTAAACCTACGAAATTAAAAAATAAAATCCCATATTTATTTAAAGTGCTATAACTTTTTTATTTATACTCTGATTCTTATAAAAGATGTATCATAATTTATAACTTTTTATTATCTTTCATATGACATCAATATTGAATATATAAAAAAAACTTTAAAAAATATCCATTTTTAAAAGAGTTTTTTTCACTTTTAGTCCTCTGACTATTATGTCATTGACAATTTTGGTACTCGACTTTGTTTTTCCCATTTTTAGTCCTTGACTATTGCACTAGAGAGACTTTCGGTACCTGTCTTTGAAAATTTCCATATTTAGTCCTTCAACTTTCATAAAAGTAACACTTTTGATCATTCAACTATTATAATAGTGACATTTTTAGACATGTCCTTATTGTGTCAAAATCATAATAGGAGGTTAAAAAGTGTCAATTTGACAATACTCAGGGACTATATGTCGAAAACCTTGAAGTCGGGGACTAAAAGTGTTTCTAGCACAATAGTCGATGACTAGAAATATAATGGAAAAATTAGAATTGGAGTACCAAAAGTGTCATTGACATAATAGTCAGAGATAAAAAATGGCAAAACTCCATTTTTAAAATGTTACTCCCTCAGCCCCATTTTGTAAGATATTTTTCATATTCAATTGGTCAACACAAATCACTTTTAATCTCTTGCTTTATATATCAAATTTTAATGTAATTTGATTCTGATTTTTTACGACTTCATAAAGTTTTTAATGTAGTTTCTAAATATGTAATTCTTTTTTTCTAAACATAATTTGAGTGCGTACAAAGGTCTGTTTGCTTTATCGTCAAACAAACATCGTAAATAGTAAAGTGCCTCACAATTCGGGACGAAGGGGGTATATTTTTTGTTTTTTGTTGTTTTGCATTTTTATTTGCACGATAAGGTTGTTGTTCTTTATTTTTATTTGATTTTTTTATGTAAGACTCTTGCATTAGGATTGAGCTATGCGGTAATCATCTTTGACTTAAAATTATATGCCCTAGTTTTAATCAACGAGTTATGTTGCTTTCTCAATATCCAAACAATCTTTTGTTGTTTTAACTTCAATTTGAATGTTGTGATATCAATTAAGCCCTCTTCTTCCAAAAAATGTTATATCTTTTTATTTGTAGTCTGATTTTACAAAAAAAACATAACTTTTTATTATCTTTCATATGACATCAATGTTGCATATATAAAAAAATATTTGTCATTTACGATCAATTTTTACCGCGCACAATATTATTGAGGAGTGATAATTTAGAATAAACTGCACAAACCTCATCATTTTTATTTATTGTTTTATTTTTTGTGCTAGAATTTGTGCATTTTTATTCTAAGCTATCACTCCGATTAATTGTGTGCACGGAAAAAAATGATAAAAAATTGCACAAGTTAATAGATTTGTTTTATATAGGCAACATTGAAGTTATATCATATGAAAAATAATAAAAGTTTAGGAATTTTGAGTAATACAAAGCTATTCTAAATTAACTATATGTACATGTATTCGAAGTGTAAAATTGGTGTCATATAGAAATAATACAATTTAGGGATTTGGAGTAATAAAAAGCTATTATAATCTTACTTCATGTACATGTATTTCAAATGTAAAACAAGTATAACACTTTCAAATCTTATTATTAGATTTTTTTTGTGACATAAGAGTGACATTTTTAGTCGTGTCCTTATTGTGTCAAAATCATAATGGGAGGACTAACTTTAGGTGAATGTATTTCAAATGTAAAACAAGTATAACAGTTTTTTAAAGTCTTAGAGCCTGTTTGGTAATAGCCAAATCAACCGTATTGACTGATTCTCCTGAAATTTATGAAGTTATGGTTGATGTGTTCAAATAGCATTCTACAAAGTTACATACAATATTTATGTAAAATTTTCTCAATATTGAAACAGGCTCATATATATTAGGGTTATGTTTGGTAGTTCGAAATGTAGGTGGATGCTAATATCCGAATTACGGGCTATTGTCTGAACTTGAGACTATTGTATAGAACTGGATTTTGAAAGGTTGCATCCAAACTATTAGGTTGATGAGGTAAATCTATTTGGCAAGAAGAGTTGGAAAATGCTCGAATAATATGACTTGATCAAATCATACAGACTAGACCCAATCTGAAGACAAATCAGACAAAAAATCAGTCCAATTAAAACCGTTTTAATGGAATCCTTCCTATAATTTAGAACTCCATGTATATTAGATTAGAATTTAATAAATATCCTGAAAGTATTTATTAGTAAAATTTGGAGTTAATTAGCTTACTATGGAGTCATATAATCATTATACAAGTAGAGGTGAGATAGACATATGATACCTCTCTCCCGAAAAGGTTTACCAGATTGACTTTTCATGGTCAATGATGGTAAACTTTGAACAATGGTTTTAATTATTATATTTGTATATAATTTATAAGTTTTATACTTTTATAAAAATATTTTGAATAAGGAACAATTTTATATAATTTTCATATTTAAAATAATTCTGTATTAAAAAAATATCATTGGTCAAAGTTGATTGTCATTGATCAAGAAAAGTTAATATGACGAATCTTTTTCGGGACGGAGGGAGTAAAAATTAAATTATCTTATTATGGAGTTAATTTTAAAAGTTTTCATGAGTAAATTTCAATTTGTCACCAAAAATTGAGATGATGACACGTGATTAAAATGGTACTAAAATGCAAAAAGGGGATTTAAAAATTATACAGAAATCTCAAAAACTAATTTCTTGATAACGATCTAATTGAGAAAAATAAATCTCTATAACGTTTGAAAATAATGAATATGAAATTGTTATGCAATGAGTTCATTTAACTATATAACTGAAAAAGAAATCTTATGCAATGAGTTCATCTAACTATATAAGTAGGGGCGGAGCCAGAGCAGTGGGCTGGACTTGGCCAGTACAAAGAATATTTTTGGGGGAAAAATTACAAGGAATTTTTTACACTAAAAATCTAGATATTTTTAAAATTTGGACTGGGTCAGGGGTGGCCATCCCCTAGCTACGCCTCTGTATATAAGTGAATTGAATATGTCAAAGTAAAGATTTTTATACAAGTCTCCTCTCTACTATCCGCCCAAGGACCAGACTGTGAATTAATCACCTCTGTAGAAGCCATATTAGGGGTGGACTCGGGCCGGGCGGATCGGCCCGGAACCGGCCCGGCCCGGTTACTGTTTGGCCCGGCCCGGCCCCGGGCCCGGTGGGTCCACCGGTTCGGTTCGGTTCGGCCCGGCCCGGCTGCTGGGCGGTTCGGGCTCGGGTCCAGTTTTTGGTGAACCGGCCCGGCCGGTTCGGGCCCGGTTCGGGCCGGTTTTTAAATTTTTTTTTTTTAATTTTTTTTTAAGTTTTGGGTTGGATTAGGTATTTTGGGTCATTTGAGGTGGTTTGGGGTTGAGGGAGAGGGGTCGGGGGTTAAATAGAAGAGCCAAAAAAAAATTAGAACCGGTTAGGCCCGGCCCGGCCCGGCCTGGCCCGGTTTGGCCCGGAACCGGAACCGGAACCGCCCACCGGCGGTTCGGGCTCGGGCCCAACTTTCCTGGCCCGAGGCCCGGCCGGACCCAGGTCCGAACCGGGCCCGAACCGGCCCGAGTCCACCCCTAAGCCATATAATTCGTTGATCCCGCTTTGGGCTTACTTGAGTTATGACTTGCAGGCACGACTCCTCATCCCCTGTCTTAGTTTCAAGAGTTTTTTTTGCTGGAAAAACGCAGCACAACCAAAACAAAATAAATATATCCAATGCATGGGAAATAAATAAAGCAAAACAAATAGAATAAAGAAGTCTCTCGGCTAACATAGATAATGTTAACCGAGAGTTGTAAAAAAATGGCTCTTTTAGTTGGAAAATATAGACCGAGACAAGTTTACATAATTAGTTAAAATCGACTAAATAAGTGATTTTCCGTTAGTTATAATTACTCATGCATATGACAAGTTTACATATGTCAGTTATATATAGTAAAATTAAAACAAAATCATTTTATCCCGTGCACAGCACGGGTAAAGATACTAGTAAAGGATAAAGTAACGATTTATCACTTGGGCTTTAACTGGCCATATCCGAACCCGAATGGAATCCGGGCTATCAAAAACATCACTAGGATTGAATACAATGAATTTGTTCTGATATTTAATTTTCATAATCCGAGATTTTACCGCTATTTAATGGATTTAGCAACAACCCGACCCATAGTGACGACCCCACCCCCACTTTCCGTATGAATCACTTTGCCCGGATTTCGGCGGTAAAGCCGTGGTCACGCATTATACGACAAAGAACTGATATGTAAAGAAGTCCTGAAGCAACTATAACACCACTCTCCAGGTATTCTACAACAGTTCTGACGCCCTTCATCTCTCCCCACCTTTTTTTATATCTGCAGGATTCACAAAATTCTTGTGTTTTTTTGCCTCAAGATTTTTTTTTGTATATCACGGAGTATATTATACGTGAAAGGTAAAAAAGTTCATACTTTTTCACTACACCATGTGTACATTTACATTGTAAAATTGTCTCTAGTTTGTGTTTTTTATTGTTCGAGAACAGGAAAAGAAGTGAACCCATGGCCACGGAAGGGGGTTCTCCAGCAAGACTCGAGGTTGGTTGTCAATGTCTTATGTAATCAATTCTAATAAATTACAGAAAATATGATTTACAGTAACCAAACCCCGCAGAGTGCAGTAATGTATGACTTGTGTGGCTGGTTTTATGCAATTGTTTATTCGTATTGTTAATTTGCTACCCAGGGGAAGTTTACTGCAATGCTAGTGTGTTGGCTTCTGGGAAACGGGTGCCTCTTTTCGTGGAACAGTATGCTAACAATAGGGGATTATTATGCCTACTTGTTTCCGGTAATTGATAATTAAGCACCCTGATAATCCGATTTTGAATATTTTACATTGGTAACTGTGAATTGCATGCGTGAACACTCAAATAGTTTCATGCATTTGTGATGGGAACTCAAGATTGTAATCCAGGAGAATGCTTGAATGGGTAGTAATATAATGTGCTTAGTAATTGCTTGGTGTAGTAGTTTATGGTTGGCAATCATTCTCACTTGTTACTGTGTTAGTGCAATGAAATAATATTTCTTAAGTAAGATAATGAAACGAGAAAGTATTAGTGGGAATCTTTCAGTACATGTAATCTAATACACTGATGGATGTTTGAATAGATGTCTTAAGTGATCTCACACTGGTCAATTATCATTTTTTAAGAATAGAACTTCAAGCCTTAGTTAGAACAGAATTGATCCTCACAAGATTTAATAATATCAAAATTAGTCTACTAAATCGAGCTAAGTCATCTCGCACCGGAGCTTTGGTTACTCTTCCCATAAGACAGACCTTTAGCATTTAGCATGAACTCTAAGTCTTAATCGAATGAAAAGATTTTGCATAGGCTAGGTTACTATTGATGCATCTACTCCTTTTGTCTGCATTGATTGCTTTCAAAGCGCTAATTAAATCTATACTTACTAAAAACAAACATTTTGATGATTATACACTATGTTTTTCCTCATATAAAGGTGGGTGACTATAAGTGTATAACCGGGCGATTGTAATAATTCCTATTATTTAGGGCATAATTGACCTCTCTGGTTTACCTATAGACAGTTCATCACATTCAGGTTACTTTGTCTTGTGTTTCTTGTAGTTCCAGATTCTCACGTGCATTTGAAGTTATATAAGTAACTACTTTGTGCATTTAATAATATTGTGATTATCTGTTTGCATAGAACTACCACCCTTCAAGGGTCCTCACCCTTTGCTATCAACCATTTGCGCTTGGGACAATTGGAATACTCGCATACAAGGAGGCAAAAATAAATACAAGAAAACGCAATCTCTTTGGATATTCTCTTTTTTTCATTAGTACTCTTCTAGTTCTTGTTGTAAGTCTCTTTCTTTTCCTCAAACACCTCCTATTTTTTCCTACAGTTGTTAGTAATTATACTGATGTTTTATTTCCACATTATTTTCCAAAGTTGGATTTGGCCACATCCGGTAAGGGAGGGATTGGAACGTACATCGGAATATGCGCAATCAGTGGTGCTTTTGGTGTTGCAGACGCTCATGTCCAGGGTGGAATGGTTGGAGATCTTTCATTCATGTTACCGGAGTTTGTTCAGGTTGGTTCATGTTGTTTTTGTTTAAACATGTTAGTTTTTCCATGTTTACATATGTATATAAAGTAATGACGAGTATTATATATATACATCCACACACATATTGTAGTGATAGATTTGACAAAATAATATCTAAATAAATAGTTATGTATGTTAACACCCTTTTTAATGGGATTGATACATTAGTAGTTAATCAAAGTTTACCTTTGTCTTTCTTTTAAGGAACGTTAGGAGTGCATATTTATTTCAATTAATTACTTTTAGATATGGAATCTATCTTTAAGGTAATTTTCCCTTTTTTGCACGATGTACCATTAATTAAAGCATTCAACATAGGAGCCTTTTTTGTACATATACATATACATATACATATACATATACACATTACACATACATCTTATGATTTTTGGGATGTAAACTACATGAGCTTGGTGCAATCTTTTTCAGTCTTTTTTTGCTGGTTCGGCGGCTTCAGGTGCTTTAACATCTGGGTTGAGGTTAATTACCAGAGCAATATTTGACAATTCTAAAGATGGTCTTCGTAAAGGAGCCAGTATGGTCTATTCCCTCTTTCTTAATAATCTCATTTAAATTTAAATGTATCATGGAAGTTCAAAAGATTATTCAAATTTGAAGACAATCAAAGTTTACAAATTAAGAACTAGAAGAAGAAGAAATAGGAAAAGTCAAAGCTTTAATACTCAAAAGTTGTTTTTGTATCCTATTTAGAGGTACAAACCATAGGCATAGTTGGTGAGACTACAATGAGATTTTGTGAACATTTCATGCTGAAAGCAAAATGGTTACTATTGAGCCTAGTTATAGGCATAATAACTGGTTATTATTACTGTGTAGATTTGTTATTTTTAATCGATATAAGATAAATACTTCTGTAGTTATATTGGCTGGTGGTGCAATCATCTTGAATTTTCAAGAACATGTGCAAAACATTTTAGATGGAAAGCCATCTGACTGCAACACTAAAAAATTCCAGCTACTTGCATGATGTTGTATTTATCTTAACAAAATTAAATATACGAATTCGGTTTCTATCAAATTTTCAAGTTTCAACTATCCCTTCCTATTTCATTTTCTCTTATTTGTTGTTTCTAATAATTTCTGTTGTCATACCTGTAGTTTTGGACCGAAGTTTTTGCTTTCTAGTCTTAAAATGTTAGTAATTGATATTGAATATTAAAGTGTGTTGCAACTTCAATTGCAGTTCTGTTTTTCACAATCTGTACAATCTTCGAGTTCCTCTGCATCCTTCTCTATGCACTTGTCTTCCCAAAGATACCGATTGTAAAATATTATCGCAACAAAGCATCTTCAGAGGGTGCAAAGACTGTTGCTTCCGATCTTGCTGCTGGTGGCATTATAACAGAGGTTGTACAAGAAATGCGTTTGGTGAAATTGGAGTTTGCACGCCACTTCTTCATCCAAATTTGCACCCCATTTTTTAAGTAAATAATACTCACACCCAGCCAGAGGATCTGTTAATAATAGGGTGCATATTCTCATCTTTAGGATGCAAAAATTAATGATTTCGGAAGTGCAGCGCAAACTTAGATATGGATGAAAAAGTGGGTGCAAACTTCAATATGTTTTTTTATGATAGTGAAATCAAGTGAAAATTGCACCTATTGCTCTAAGAATTTATTTGGGTACGTTGCAGGCACAGAACAATCCTACCTCACAGATGGATAGACTAAGCAACAAAGATTTGTTAATGCATAATATAGATTATGCAATAGAGATCTTCATGATATATGCATTGACATTATCCATTTTTCCTGGATTTTTATCAGAGGATACCGGGGCCCACAGCCTGGGTTCATGGTGAGAAGATCACATTAAGTTAATGCAGTCTTATGGCTGGTGATGGTTGACTTATGATCTTACTATCTTAGCATCAATTTTCCAGGTATGCACTTGTGTTGATAGCTATGTACAATGTGTGGGATCTCATCGGGAGATATGTGCCGCTATTAAAATTCATAAAGCTCGAATCAAGGAAGGGGCTTATGGTGGCGATCCTCTCACGCTACTTACTCATCCCGGCGTTCTACTTTACGGCCAAATATGGTGATCAGGGATGGATGATTCTTTTGACCTCCTTCTTGGGGCTGACCAATGGGTACCTAACTGTCTGCGTCTTTACTTCTGCTCCCAAAGGCTACAAGGTTAGTTTCTGGTATTATAAAGATACTATTGCTCCAAGTGTTTGTTAGGTCTTTTCACACCATTCAATATAATGATACAGTTTCACATATAAAGTCTTAGTTACTCTTCCTATCATTAGTCTTTTAGGATATAATCCAAATTGAAATATAGTATCATAATTCATAAAATTCAAGTAACAGTCAATCTGACTATGACTCAAAAAAGAGATCGCAAATTGCAAGATTGGTATGACTCAACAAGCTGTTAAGCCGTTTCGCACCGGTCAAATGAAAAGATACACTTTTTGTGCTAATCTTTCCTTTCGTGATGAAGCTCAAGTCATAACACAAGTATCTGGGATAGCTTGTTAGTGGTACCCGAGAATATCCAAAACTCAGAAGTTGCATATTCTGTGACTTTCTTAGAGTCTGCTATTATGGAACACCTCTCCTAGAGATATGTCATTCAGTCGCATGAGCACCTCCATTATAACAACAACAATATAATGGCAATAATAATTTTCATCAAGATCTGGCACTTTATGATGGTTGATTGTCTGTGTTTCTATAATGGAGTTCCTGATATTTTACACAATTATATCATGTTGAGGGTCATTTTTTATTTTTAATATTGCTAGTTTTATTCCCTCTCTACGTACACCACACATGTATAGTTTGAACTTTGAAGTTCATTTTTCCTCATCTCATCATAAATCATTCTTATGGAGATTTGTTGCTGCCCATGTATTGCAGGGTCCCGAGCAAAACGCGTTGGGGAATATACTAGTGTCATTTCTTCTAGGAGGTATATTTGCCGGTGTTACGCTTGACTGGTTGTGGCTCATTGGTAAAGGTTGGTAAAGAGAGAACATTGTTGGTTTTTCTTAGAGGTAGGTAATAAGCATTATGGATTCTTATGAGCAATTTTTGTTAGAATTGAGAACATCTAATTGCTTTACTGTAAATGTTTCATACTATAAATTTCTTGTGACCAAAGCTAGATCAATGAAATGCAGTTCAGATGAGTGTGGTTTGGTCAATGGTTTAAGTTTAGATCATCTGGGAACGGACATATATATGCACTATGCAGTGTTTTAGAACCCAGAACGGTTCAACTATGGATGTTTTTTACTTGGACTGTAATCTGTCCTAGACCAGTCCAGACCAGTTCAGACCAGATCAGACCTGGATAGTTATAAAAGTACAAAGAGAGCAGACATTACGAGACCAGATCAGACCAACAAATTACAATCCAAGTAAAAATATTCTATATATGGCCTAATGTGACGGGAATCGCAGATTCACAGTATAACCGGTCCATCAACCGGTGTATAACCAGCCCATCACTTGCATTTAATTGACCATGCAATTAGACCCTTCTAACCAGTTTCACAAGTACTCAACTGATGTTATGGTGTAAGTGGCGAAGGTGTAAGTGGCGAATATGGCATTTTGACTATTTTTTTTCTTCTTCTTATGAAAATCAGTCACAATTCAATATGGGATTCAGCCTCATGCTTCGCTAAACAGGAAATAAAATCTAGGACAGATGTAAAAGGAAATAAACTTAAACTATGATATACAATTCATTTCAAACTTTTCACCCGATTGGCCGACTTCAATCCTTGGTCTTCTTTTACACCATTCCCGCTCCGTTCACGGAAGAAATGGCAGGATTCTACCTCATTCTCCCCACCAAGATGGGAGGACAATTGAGGGAGAAGGGATAAGAAAGGCAAAAGGGTAATGGGGATAGTTCCTATACCTCATTATTTTAAAGTTACTCCGTATTAATCAATAGTAATTGGGAGAGTTGTAACTTGTAAGCTCTTCATTTAACAGTCTTCATTAAACTACCGTTATGGCCTTATGGGCTAAAATCAACTCAAAGTAAAAGGGCAAAAACATGATCTTTAGTCCAAGGAAAAATCACCAAAAACAAAAACAGAAGTACAAGTGTAAGAAGCAAAGTGTGAATCCAACATCTCTAAACCACTTCGTTGTTCTTAATTAATCTCTTTCATACGGCCCGTCAGGTCCCATTCTTGCTGATTACAACTTGCAACAATTATCTGTACTCGGTGGGAGACTTGGTGTGACCATTGATAGTTGACAACTTGACATTATTTTTCCAAAGCGAAAGGGTCAATTCACATCCTGAACTGATAAAAAAATGTTCAACTTTCATTTTTTATGGGTAAACAATTGGTCATTTTTTAATTTTTTTATTGTTTCTGTTTTTTATTTTTGATTTATTGCAATTTTGACACTTTTTAATAATTTAGGGGTGCGAATTGGAAATATTTGAATTTTTTAAGGTTTAACAAGTGTCAAACCTATTAAAAAATGAAATTTGAATTTTTTACCCGGTTTGGGATGTGAATTGGACATTTTTTTAGTTCAGGAACTGAATTGAGCTTACACGACCGGTACAGGGACCTATTTGACCCTTTAGCCTTTTTCCTAATTACTTGCAATGTTTTTCCCTCCCTCATGCTAAGGTTATCCCATTTTTCCTTTCGAAAAATCGCACTTGTATTATCTCATACCAAATATGGTAAAATTTGTATGACTCTAAATCATTTTTATTTTATTTATAGTTTATGAATTCAATATCAACAACATAAATTCACTTTTTTAATAATCGTGTCACACTCTTGTGTCACAATGTAGTGTGACGAAGCCATGAAGGTAGTAATATCCAAATTTCCAAAAAAACAACCTGTTAATATAAACGTGGTGGATACATGTAGTAGGGGTCGACCAGATTGAACTTGGTTTTTGTTCAAAAAGAAGCCACTTGTGTAAACATAAAATATTGTGGAAAGAATTAACTATAACACATAAAATAGTGTCGGTGTAACGGTGTTGTATTATTAAATTGGACTCTGTCGATCAAGATGGAGTATTTAAGTTTTTTGTAATAAACTTAAAGAATTAATTCCACTTTTAGTCCTATGAGTGTTGTATCAATTCCACATTTAGTCCACGTTTTTCATTTTGTCCACTTTTGTTACTTGACTAATGTTTTTTAATCGTTTGTTGTCCTTTTCCGGTGAGTTTAACCACCGAAAACAATGCCGGAAGGATCATATATGGGCGAAAACACAATAGTCAGGTATCAAAGTGAACAAAGTGAAAGATGTGGACTGAATGTGGAATTGACCCCAAACTCATAAGACCAAAAGTGAAATTTATTCTAAACTTAAATAAGTTTTGGACTCTGTGTGACTGTGTCGATCAAGAGGAAGTGTTGTAACTTTTTTCTGTAAACTTAAGTAAGTTTCTAATCCTTCTAATGGGCTTTGGTTTAGGTTCTTGTAATTTTTCTATTGTTTTTCATCTCTATAATACTACGAATGTATTATTTTATTTTTTAATTTATCCCTAACTCCGAAACTACTCTACTCACAAAAAATTTGTTATCGGTTACATAAATCTATTAGAAACTTTAAATTTATCATTTTATAATCTCTTTGAGTATAATATGAGAGTTAAAACAATGTAAAACTAATTATTAACATTTTTTAGATATGTATAAAAAACTTAAAAAATAAAATTAAACACTTTTTGAATAACATGACCAAGATTAGAAGTAACCTATTAGGATGTTTTTATTTGGGAAGACCGTCAAATAAGCCCTCCTACTATATGAAAAAAATCAATTAAGTCCTCGTACTAAATTATCAGTCAATCAAACCCCCAAACAACTTCAAAACACTCGAATCTTCTTTTTATCCGGTAAACCAATTATTTCTAGGTAAAATACTTCCTCTGTCATGTGATGTGGCATCTATTAATCTAGGTGGCATTTATTTTGACAAGTGATCATCTTCCCCGAACTCCCGAAGTATCACTGTAGATTTGTACTGTTCACTTCAGATCTGTTTTCTGAAAATTGAATTGATTTAAGGTTTAGTTTCTAGATTTGGAGGTTTGTTTGGTGTTTATCTCCCTTAGACGAACTAATTACCCTGTTCGTGAGTGAGAATAGCTGAAGCCCAGAATACCGGACACTGTTCATCGTTCCTGTTTTTCTGGACTGGTTCGATACTCAGTTTCGGGGGGGGGGGGGGGGGGGGGGACAGGTAGAATACTACGTGACTGAGCTACGCCCGTGTGTACTGAGTGACGCTCTCAGTTGGTGGGCTGCAGTTTGCTGGTGTGCTGGGGTTCGGTCTTGCACAGAGGAGTTATTTTATGCGTTGCAGACCTGCTGGGACTAGGGAATCATCCAATGTGCGAAGTACCAGGTCCTCATCCCGGTTTGAGGTTTTGGCAGGAAGGGATGATGAATTCCCACCCCTGTCTTCTGGGAAGGAATTGAAAGAAGATGGGACTGTACTCTCACCTCTTAACGGGAATGACATCAAGAAGATTGAAATCAAACCCGGGGCTGTTTCTATTGATGCAAAAGTTATTGTAAATGCAGGGGATGCTACTAAGATACTTGGGCAGCTTGGTTTGGTCAATACTGCTACTAAGCAACCTGGAATTGCTAAAGAAGCTACTGCTGTGGTGACTAATTTCACTGGGATACCTTCCAGTAACCATGAAACTACTGTTGCTCCAACTGTTGTGACTCCTACGGTTGATTCCAAACTAAGTGAAATAGATCTGAAACCATGGTCTAACCTTTTTAAAGACAACCGAGCTCCGGCGCATGGCATGAAGTTGAAATATGTTCCGCCAAAAGGCAGCTCTTTGGACTTTGCTGGGAGGGCTCTACCATCCATGATTGATATGTGGGGCCACTGCCTTGTTGGATGCTTCACAGGGAGATTCCTTGGCCTTAAAGCCATCTATGAACTGAAAGAAAAATGGGGGTGTGAGGTGCCTGATTAGGTCCCATGACAAGGGATGGGTCATTTTCAAATTTAAAAATGAAATTGATAGAGCTAAAGTACTCAATGAAGGGCCGTATAACATTTTTGGGAAACTCTTGATGCTTAAAGAACTCTCTGATGATTTCTCGTTTAGTGATGAAGAATTTTTAAAGGTACAGATTTGGGTTAAATTCCCTAATCTACCGTTAAAACTTTGGAATGATGAAGCTATGAGCGAAATAGCATCTATGGTGGGTGTCCCATTAACTACGGACAAGGTTACCCAGGAAAAAACCAACCACCACTTTGTTAGAATACTAATCGAGGTTGATGTTTCAAAACCACCACCGCTATCATTTCCCATACGTTTACCTTCTCGAAAGGTATTCAAACAAATGGTGGTATATGAAACTTTCCCTAACTATTGCTTCCATTGCAAAGAATACGGGCATCACCCGTTTATTTGCAATGAATTGGCCAGGATTAGTAAGGAGAAAAGGGATGCTGAAACTGCCCAACTTGTTAATAAAGAGGTTGCAAATGAAAAGACAAGAGAGGAAATTGCTCAAGGAAGGGATGATGCTATGGTTGGAGAGGCGGATAAGATCGCGAATGAGCTACCTACCTCACCACCGGCTGCCGTGCAGGTAACGGAAGAAGACCGAGCTAATCCAGCACAGGTGGAGGAACCCATTTTGGAGGCTGCTGCTGCTCCAGAAACTGAAGTTGCCCCCAAACATGCTGCTGCGCCGGAACGTGCTGCAGCGTTGGCTGCCGTGCAGGACAAAGAAACTGAACTGGAAACTACGGTTGGCCATCTTGTCTCGGATACAGAAGAGAAATGTGATACTACTGATTCTGAAGACCATTATAAGACTGAAGAGGAACCGGATCGGGAACATCATGTCAGAAAAACCACCAAAAAAAGTAGGAAGAGAAAGGGTGAGACAAATGAGAAGTATAAACTACGGCTTGGAGGAATGATTGGAATGAAGGTAAAATAATTCTTGGATGGGGAAACTACGGCTTCCGTAGATGGGTTGGACTTTTAATTTATTTAATTAGTGATTTGTGAAGTGGGGACTGTCCCATTATTTTGATGCATTATATCTAGGTTAGTTTATTCTAGCTTAGATAGTCATTTTGATTTGGATTTGATGCATTGTAAAATGCTATTTTTCGGTTTCTAATATACTTAC